TTTGACGCTTCCTCCGTTTTTCAGAGCGTGTTCCATTCTCTCCATGTTATACCTTCTTACATCGCATACTTTACGTCTATTAATCAACTTCGAAAGCTCTGCCAGTTCTATTTTGTCTGTTGTACTTGACACTTTCATGCTTTGACGCTTCTTAATCAGATTCTTCGTTTCCTGGGAAAGCTCTCCAGTGTCCTGTCTAAATACCCTGCCTCCAACTTCCACTGCACACTGCATACTCGTCAGATTATTATTCATTGTATCTACGCTAAGGTTGGTTTCCTCACTAAGAGCCGAGTACCTGTTCTGCAGTGACACTCTGAATTCCTGTACTTTCCCTCTCAGTGCTAGCTCATTGATTGGCTTCTTGCGTATCAGTTTCTGTCGTTCCTTCTTCAAGTCTAGGCGAATTCGAGACCGTACCATTCTACGGTCACTGCATCGTACCTTGCCAATTACTTCCACATCCTGCACGGTTCCTGGGTGTGCAGTCATTATAAAGTCTATTTCGTTCTTATTTTCGCCATTAGGGCTCCTCCATGTCCACTTGCGGTTTTCTCGTTTTCGGTAGAATGTATTCAAAATCCACAAATTATTCCGTTCTGCGAACTCTACTAGTAGCTCTCCTCTGGCGTTTCTAGTGCCGATGCCATAATCTCCTACTGCCTGGTCTCCAGCCTGCTTCTTCCCTTCCTTTGCATTAAAGTCGCCCATCACTATAGTATACTGTGTTTTTACCTTACTCATTGCCGATTCCACGTCTTCATAGAAGCTTTCAACTGAAGCGTCATCATGGCTGGAAGTAGGCGCGTAAGCCTGTACTACCTTCATCTTGTATCTTTTATTCAGTTTAATTACAATACCTACCACCCTTTCATTAATGCTATAGTATTCCTCTATGTTGCCAGCTATGTTTCTGTGAATTAGGAACCCCACTCCCAATCTTCTGTCTGCCAAGCCCCGATAGCAAAGGACGTGCCCATTCTGTAGCACAGTATAGGCCTCATCTGTCCTCCTAACCTCACTGAGCCCTATTATATCCCATTTAACACCCTCTAGCTCCTCGAATTGTACAGCTAGACTTCCCTCACACACACACACACACACACACACACACACACACACACACACACACACACACACACACACACACACATATATATATATATATATATATATATATATATATATATATATATATATATATATATATATATATATATATATATATATATATATATATATATGTAGGAAAGACAACATTAATGTGCGTGTGTGTGTGTGACAACATTAATGTGCAACATTGTAAGTTCTGAGCAATGATGAAGCAGTGGAAGCAGCTGCCCCATCCACCCACGAGGACATCAACAGTGTCGCGATTCATTTATCAAGATCTGAAGCAGTAAAACTACTTGGTGTGTTGGCACGTCACTTAAAGCTGTACAGGTGCAATTCGCCGACGTTTACACTTTCACGCTTACGTAACTAAAACACTGATCATCAATTACGTGTTTCATCCAACCTCTTATGACGCAGTGATTCTACCACGCTGGTCTTTCTCTGCCTTGGAGATGGCGTTCTCTGCGTATTCGTTCATTATTGGAATGTCTATAGCAATTCTTAAACTCAGAAGGTTCAGCGGAACAATCGCACACCTTCTCCGCGAGTGCACCTACTCTGTCACCCAAAGATATCCTGGGGCACTTATTTACCTAGTCAACAGCGCGAGCAGATTTGTGAGGACGTTGCTGTGGTTTCTTTGAGGAACCGGACTGAACGAAAAGTTGCAACTGGTCTCATGCAATTTCAGTGCGTTGCTTTTAAGCACGCTTTTGTCTCGGCTTTATATAGTGGCACGGTAAACTCCGTGCTCCACTTTTGTTTTCTTCACACCTGCTTCCTTCTTCCCAAGTACGCGGTAGCCAAGCGTATTTCTTCCTGGGGAACCTGTCAGTCTTTCCTCTACCTATTCTCTTTCTTTCTTTCTCTCTTTCTTTGTTTCTTTCTTTCTTTCTTTCTTTCTTTCTTTCTATCTCATCGTCATTTTTTCTTAATAGGCAATGATATTGAGGCAAGCTTTCAAAAAACGATACCACTGTTACATGTAGTTTTAAAGACATCTGGAAAAGGAGTAAAATTACACCGTCTCCCTCTAAAGGGAGCAATGCATGAATGAATGAATGAATGAATGAATGAATGAATGAATGAATGAATGAATGAATGAATGAATGAATTTTTCTTTCCTAATCCATGTACAGATAACAAACACTTGTAGGACCTATAGTGAAAGGCTGTGTAGATGCGTAGCAACGGGTGCTAACGCTTACAGTGGCGGCGACGTTGACGCTGGCGGCGCTTTAATGCGCAGCAGAGAGTGGAAGCCACTGGATCAAGCTTGTTCATCAGATGCTTCACGTCTAATAATATTACAAATGGGCATAAATGCCACGTCGCTACACCACAACATAGCATCGTTGCTGTGTTTTTTTCTCATTCGTTTAATGAAAACGCAGCCGGTAGGACAAGCAGTCGAACCGGCATGCTCAGCAAAGCAACACCTTCAGTAGCATTTACGGGCAGGCTTTTTGAAGATCATTAGTCCATTGGAGTCGCAACACAAACGTAGCGAGAAACCAAGACACGAGACAGCCTATCCTTTGCTTTCCTGTTTTATTGTTACGTTTGCGATTTTATATTCATGAACTACGCAACACCTCGGCCACCGAGCTTGCTTAGGTGACCTCAGAACTTTTGTATGTATACATTACAGAATAGCTGCAGAAGATTTTGAGTCCCAGCGTCGTACGTGTTATCTGAAACGGGCATGAAGGCAACGCGTAAAGTGCGCCATAAAAAAATGTGCGGTTCTACGTTTACAGAACGCTGCCTTGTGGTACAACCCACGAGCACGACCTTGTTTCTTTTATCCAGCGGCCGTGCCACGAGCATTGCGGTGTGGAGTACCTCTCACGACTCGTTCACAAGTGTTCACGGTATCGGGAGCCTATATCTTGAAACCGCCGGCACCTTATCGTTGCTGCGTTGGCAATCGTGGCGAACGTCCCGAATGCGAAGGCCGATGTAAACGGTGTTCGTATCGATCTCCGACACACATAACGTACGTCGTCACTTCACCGGCTCGATGATCGAGGGTGGCTCTCCGATCGAAAGACATCGTTATCTTGAGTTTTATTAGCTTTTTTTTCGCGTGACAGGCCCGTGGAGTCCACCTCTTGACCGCGTGAGTTTGGCGTCACGATCACGAGGGCCTCGTAAGAAGTTCTCATCGTGCTCAGTGATATTCCTTCGGTAAAACTTGCTGCTGAGCGAGTCGGTTCTCACTTCAAGGTTGACTGGTGTGCGCAAATAAACACAGGAACACAGAAATACCGGACAGGCCCAGTCCTTGACCACTTTACCTTGAATCGTTTATTTATCGAGAGGTCCCGCGCCTTCGCGACTTTGGCGTCGTAGTTTAACATCGTGGCTTCAGCATCGTATAGTCAAAGCTATCTATTTCGGCAAAGTGAAGCCAATGTTATCTTCAGCACACCACCTCTGTGGCCTCGGCGCCCGACTGCTTAGCCGAAGGTCGCGAGATGGAATCCCGGCTGCAGCGGCCGCATTTCCGTGGAGGCAGAATGTTCGAGGCACGCGTATTTAGATTTAAGTGCACCTCAGAGAAAACCGGATGGTCGAATTGCCGGAGCCCTCCACTGCGTGCATCTCTCGTGGTTATATGAATGCGTTGCAACATAAAATCCCTATATTTATTGTGTCATCTGCAAAATCAAATTCAGTCACGTAAATGGCAGTTCTAAGCTAAAACTGCGATTATTTTTGGGAATGCCGTAGAGGAGAACTACGGAATAATTACGATTGAATAAGACTTGTAGCTGGACGAGTTGGTTAATTCTTTAAGTTGAAACTGTTATACGCAAAATGACAAACAGAGAAGCAGTATAACACGGACATGAACAGGCGCAAACTTTCAATTAGGATTAGTCAGGGCCAGCTTGATTGCCTCTGCGCCTAGGTAACAGTACACCAGCGTTTCTCTCTCTCTCTCTCTCTTTGCATTCGAACGCTTCCGTCTTTACAGAGCCATCGTGTTCAGCAGCGCTACAAATTTTTATATTGCCACAAAGATACTGCGGCATGGTAGCTTTACTGAAGTGAATTGTCATTATTTACAACAGGTTGGGGGAGACAAGGCAGTAAGGCTGCTCCAGCTTGAAAAAGCACCTTGCCCTCTAAGATCACAAGGCAAACGCACTCGTAATAGTCTCGAGCTTTACAGAAAAATACAAGAAATACACTCGTTTACGAGAATACGCGATCAACACTTGTGACATGATACTGTAAAACAATGCACTTGTTTCCTCCTTTTTCAAGTTTTGAATGTGGCACAGTTACATAGTGCTCATGATAATTTCGTGAATTGTTTGAAGGGAATGTTTATTGTTTATCAATGCGATGGTCATGATAGGCCAAAAAGTGCCAAGTAAAAAAAAAACACCATCTTCCCCGAAAGGGCATTATGCGGGGATGCGAAGCAGCACTGGCGTTCACTTGTGTTTCCGTTTGTATGTTTCCGTGTATATTTCATTTTTGCGTGATGTGTGTATGTTGTGTGCAGCTTATGTCCCCCCGCCCTTCTTCCCATTTCTGCATTATGTGTGTGCCGCAAAGTGAACACGCAGCGCTTCTAGGAGAGTGCAACGCCGCGAGCGAGCGCAGCATTATACAACGAGCCTACAGCTGCGGCGAATAAATAAACGGGAAAGGAGAAACGAAGTGGAGGCAGCGCTCTGCCACCTCCTCCGCCCCACTTGCTGTCACCTCCTCGCACTATTGTGAGAAGGGGAAAGTTGGCGCATGTGCAGCGGTGGAGTGGACGGTCGCCAAGGGACGGACACAGCCCCGAGCAAAAGCTGCTCCGCATCCAACTGGCCTTGAATTTCTGATAAACGTATAGTCTATTTTTGTAAGCGAGTACTCACAGCCGACAACGAGGCCAGTGGCGCTGTACACCGATTCGCAGGCGGCTCCGCGGACGAGGCAGTAGTAGGTGCCAGCATCCGCGTCGCTCACGTGTGGTCTCCTCCAGGTGACGCTGGTGGCGTTGTTGAGCCGCGTCTCTGACTTCTGGACCGGGTGGTCGCGCGAACGCAGGATACCCATCTCGTATGTCCGACCAGGGGTCCACCTGGTGAGAGTGCACGTCATCTCGAATTCAGACCCGTTCAGCAGCGTCACGTCCCTCGAAGCGACTGCGGATGAGAGAGAAAAGTCGTGATCAGAACGGATGTGAGTGATTATAAACGTTGTTCGTGTGGTGATAACTGACTGCCATGTAAAACCAACTCAATCACACCTTACGTGCCTTAGTGGGCTACAGATACCGCGGTGTAACCTTTACCCAGATTTCCTAGCTTTTTAGTGATTTCTAAGAGAGAGAGAGAGAGAGAGAGAGAGAGAGAGAGGGATAAAGATGCAAGGAAAGGCAGGGAGGTTAACCAGACGCACATCCGGTTTGCTACCCTGCACTGGGGAAGAGATGAAGGGGAGAAAAGAGGTTGCAGAAAGATAAGAAGGTACACACAATCACGAGCACACTCGGGGGAGCACACACAGTCTACAGGCGGTCGCTCAGGTTTGTTGACATAAAGTAAATTAGGAGCACTTTAGTCGCTTTCTGCGCAAATGAGGCTAGCATCTGAAATTTCTTGTATGCGTGAGCTGTCCTTCCGCGATACTACTGCTAGTGACGTAACAAGGAAGTACGGCTTCTTCATACTTACATAAAGAGCGGACACTCCCGTAGGGCCCTGCGGCCCAGCTAGTGCGCTGCTTTCGGCGCCACGAGTGGTTGATCAGACCCGATAATTGCTTAAGCATAAATAAGATAACATTTTTTTTCTTTCCGACGCTGGGCTTTGAGCCCGTACCCTCATGCTCCGAGAGCGAATTTGTTAAACCACCAGGCCACACACCCATGCTTCCTAAGAGGGAATACATGTATACAGTACATCTGAACCACATGAATGTGCCTCTTTGTGCAAAAAGAAATGTGGAAAGACAACACTTTCTACTAGGTCATAATTTACTGTTTTCTGTTGTAAGGCATTAAATGTCCTCAGCGTGACATGATGTAGAGCAGATATGAATAACTGCACAAATTAATCGAATTTCCTTTTGCAAGAAATTGATGCCAAACTTGGGTATTAGATGTCCTCCTGACGAGGCTATAACATGTCTTAACAAAGAAGTAAAAGCGAGCGTGGGTACGCCATATAGTGGTTGATCAGACCCTTTTTTGCTGGGCCGCGAAAAGGCTCCAGTGGCCTCTCTTTATACAGTATGTTTCTCCATGATACTAGTGCTGGTGACGTAACAAGGAAAGAAGCACGGCGTCTTCGCACTTGCGGTGCCAACCTTAAAGGAAGAGCGCACCTGGGTGACCTTTCTTATTTCTTTCGTTCTGTTTATCATCAGCTTATCTTCATGTCTACTGCAGGACAAATGCTTCCTCCCAATGACCTCCAAATGATACGGTCGGGCGTGAGCTGTATCTACTTAACGCCCACCAGTTTTCTTATTTCGTCACCCTACCAAAGTTTCCGTCGTCCACGACTGTTTCCCATCCCATCGTACACCGATTCCGTCGCCTAGCACGCAATAAAGAGCCTGCCCAGTTCCGTTTTGTCCTTATAATGGGAGCTACACGATATCGGCTCCCCCACTTTGTTCACTGAATCACTCTGCATTCCATCCCGCCTCATTCTGTAACGCCTACCGTTCTCCGCTCAATGTCACTTTAAAAAAGGGCCACTAAACCACCTCCGATCACTTTCTTTTATCATTTCGAGCAAACGCGAGTTTCAAACCGCTACGATCAGCTTCGAGTTCACAGTGCCGTTATTATCTACAATATCAAACAAGGCAGCGCTGTGAGTCGTGGGGGCGCCATAAAGTCCAAGAAACAGTCCCTTGTCGTCTCCGGACCTTTTGCTATCCTCACCGTTGGCAGTGACTTGACCATTCGCATCTGGGGATGCCATCGACAAAATAACCTCTTTGCCATCTCGCAGGTACCTCACTCGTCGCGCGTACCTGCGTCTCATAAATTCAAATCAAAGGACCGGCCAACAGACTCCGATACTCGCAGAAAAAGCTTGCGCATTTTTCCTGTTCGTGACCAACCTCCTTTCACGCGGAGTGACGTCAACTCGGCGATCGGTGACGTGACGCAGCGCACGCAGCTCGTCGATTGGCCAAAAGCAGGTCTCAACAAACCGTAATGAAGTCAACGTCACCCATCGCCGAGTTGACATCACTGCGCGAGAAAGGAGGTTGGTCAGGTGTACGAAAGTTGCGCGAGCTTGTTTGGAGGGTGTAAAAAAAAAAAGAAGTCGGAGCCTGTTGACTGACCCTTCAATACGTATCTTACGTCCAGTCGCGTAACAACAGTAATAACAGTAATGAAGCCCAGCCACTCAAATGGGCATGGACATAAGACTCCTTAACACGAAGATGTACCTAAAGCATTCACGTGTGCGACGACGGGTCAAAAGAAACATATACAGTTAGCTAACATTGGATGCAATGGGCTGGTATTCTCTATGACTTCAAATGATATTTTTCTCCTCCCGAGACATGTCAAAACCTATTAATACCTGCCGTCCCACACTGTGTCTATTTGTGTCTCCCTCAATCACCGGGAATGCCCTCCCTGCTTGAAAAATGTAGTCCACCGAGCAAACAGGCATGGACCAAGAAAAGCAGCGATAACGTTAGTTGCGTACACGCAGACGATCGACAGCGAGATTAATACGAGTCATATAACAGAACACCGCTTTCGTTGTGGCTTTACTGCAACACGACAAGGTTGCGCAAGTTAAGCGCGTTACGTGACGAGATCAAGCTATTTACGGAACTTTCTCCTACGATCTCCCGTTGCGTTTATTGTGTAATGAAAGGCTTTCGCGTCTGGAGCAAGTCTTTCAGCACTTATACCGTCGCATTCATTAACAACGCCCTGTACATACCGCGAGGTTACGTGGTTGATTAATAAAGGCCCCCGGTTCACTTAAGAAAAAAAAAACACTTAGTTTCCCTGAACCCTATTGAAGTTCTTGCCCTGCCGTGCCACCTGTTACTCCCCGTGGTGTGTCCCGATATACCATCTGTGTAACTCTTTTTAAAGGTACAGGCAAACACTTTTTCTAGATTACTGTTCTTTCTTATGAAAGTTGACGGAAGCGACGCTTGCCAAAGCATTGTTATAGGCACCCGTCAGTTGGGTGCTGCTTCATCCATTTAGCGCACTGCTTCATCGAAATTAGGGTGCTGCTTTATCTGTTTATGCGTTATCGTCTCGCGATTTGTTCGGGCCTGTCCCTCAAGCGCATTGCCATTGTGATACAGGGACGCTTAGTTTAGCGTGAGCGGCTATTTCTCGAGTGGAAGCTTCCCGCTAATCGAGCCCGCTGTAGGCCGAACTCGCTTTTATCTTTCGGCTCTCGATAAGAGCGGCGGTGAGTCCCTGATTCCCGGTATGCTGCCGCTGTTTCACGAAAAACAGTTCCTCGTTTCGAGTGTAGCCTACAGCGTGTTTCTCACGATCGTCTCTATCCCATCAGTTCCAATCGTAAAACAGATAAAAAAATTCGAAGCTTACACTCAGTCGCAAAAGGCTTGAAACATCAAAGCTGTAGGATTATGAAGTTTAATGTTGTTGCTTCTGGGGTAATTCTATTCACCTTTTCATAAACGCCTCCGTGGGCGCCGCCATAGCCCTCCTTGGGGTGTGCAAATTAGCGCGTCCCCTCGAAAATGCACTGGCAACGCTGCGCCCTTAGCCTCTGTACTCCCGCGCACAGCCCATCATGGCAGTGTTTTCTTCCTTCTCGTGGAAAAGGTGTATAGGCGATGCCAGGTCCGCCACGGGGGAGCAGTGGCCAAGTTGCTGGACTGCTGAGCCGAGCGTCGCGGATTGGATCCCACCCGCACGAGTCGCGTCTCGATGTAAACTAAATTGTATAGAGGCCCGTCTGCTGTGCGACGTGAGCGTTTAAGGAACACCTGATGGTCAAAAATTTTCGGAACCCTCCAATAACGGCGTCTTTCACAATCACATCGTGGTTTTGTTTCGCAACGTAAGAACCCCAGATAGGATTATTAGATGATGCCAGGTAGTTCGTATGTTTCTAGGCCTCAGCTGGGGGATGCTTGGTTATTCCTACGTTGCTTCTCAGTGCAGAGGGGTTCGAGTATATAAAAAACCACAAGCCGTGACAGACACAACAAGGATGTCCAAGGTCTAGAACACGGTGTAAGATAAGAACTACTTGTTTGTATCTTACGTCGTGCTCTATAGATACAAAAAAATGAGCTGAAACCAAGCGTTCGCACTTCTCATAGCTCTACGGGCACTTAGAAGTGTGGCAGTTTGGGCTAGTTGGTATGACATGACGATAGTTATAGCGCGAAAACAGGACGACGACGAAGAGACAAGAAGGACACGAGCGCTAACTTCCTACTCTGTTGGATGTTAGCGCTCATATCCTTTTTGTCTCTTTGTGGTGGTTCTGTTCTCGCGCTATAACTGACGTCTACGGGCACATCGTCATTCGCGTATCCGTCGCTTGCGCGCTATTTGTAGTCGTCGCAGACGTTGCCGTTCCCTGATATTCTCTCGTTGTACGTATCGCTGAAGCACCTTGTACGGATGCTCGAACGAAACTGAAAGTTGCGGTCACGGTGCTCATCACTGGGTTAATCGTGATGGTTTATTGAAGCGTTTCTCGATTACTGGTTACGTCGGTCTAGAAATCGTATATAGTTGGTGCTTGTCGCCCGTCTACTGCATTCTCTGTTTTCAGTGAGGCAGCGGTGAATAGTGTCACCTGCGCGATTTCCGGGTCACATACTCGTTCAAGATCATGATAGTTATAAGGCGGGAACCCCTTAGGGACTGTCGTGTGCTGGGAAGTACGGCTGAGGAGGAGGAGCAGGAGGGTAGAGCAAAGCGTAGCCGTCCATATATAGTACAGGAATCGGTCGGAGAAGGGAAATAAAAGCGACGACGAGATGTGAGAGCGGAGAAGTGAAGAGGTTACCAACACATCCCAGATGAAGGCGTCGTGGAGGCCTAGCGTCGTGGAGGTTCGCGTACGGTGAAGGCTTAGCAGTCTTCCTTGCAAATTTCGTCGCATTTAGTTGCGATGTACCAGCACTTTTGGGCACCGGCTATGTTGGCTAGTTTTGG